CTTTGCGCAGGGCGACCCCGCGCCCGCGGCTCCCGGGGTGGGCTGGGGGCGCCAGGCTGCGGCCTCATCGTGGGGGCATCGCTCGGCTCACCGCCCCTCGAGCCGGGGTCCCAGCGCCGAGAGATCCCAAAGTTCCCCAAGGGTCCTGGGCGCACGAGGACGCGCGGCGCGGCAGCAGTCAGCTCCCCGCTCCCATCAGCTGGCCGCCTCGCGCGCATCCCCGCCGCCCGCCCCCCAGTTGCTAGGCGACCGTGGCCGTCATGCTCAGCATCAGCGTGCGCGCTGCCTCCCAACTCGGCTTTGGAGGGGGTCCCCTTCTCTGACATTTATTAAAAATTAGAGCAGAGCCAGCTCTCAAATGACCCCTGCTTCTGTCTATTACCTGTGCTCCATGTATGCTTGGGAAGCCGTTTGCACGGTGGCTTCTGGTGCGACGATGTTCCTCAGAGCTGGACTATTCTTTGCAAAGACGTATGAGGCGTTTTAAATGCTCCCCAACATCTTCCCCCTTGAACTCGAATTCTAACTCCAGGCCAAAATATATTGCCTCCACCGAAGAGACTATCTGGTTCAAATACCCAACAAAAAACACATCCACTGCCAGTCAGCTACCCTGGGGGAGAAATACATTATGTATCTACCCAAGTAGTTTAGGCCACTGGCCCAGAGGCAGAGAGATGATGCTATATGACACGGATTCAAGACCCATAGAGTTCCTAGGTGGTACAAACAGTTAATAAGCTGGGCTGCTAATCAAATGGTTTAAGGTTCATGTCCCATCAGAGGAACCTGTGGGAAAAATCCCAACCCGAACCCAATGCCGTTGAGTAGATTCCAATCCATAGAAATAGCTACCCTGTGTAGGGCTTCTGACACTGCATCTGGACAGAAGCGGACAGCCTCAACCTTCTCCAGCAACCTTTTGAGTTAGCACTCTGATGCATACAAACAACAAGCCAAAAACGCATTGCCATGAAGTCCATGGCCATTCATGGAGACCCTATAGGGTAGACCCTCTCTGCCCCAGTGAGTTTCCAAGACTCTGTTTATGGGAGTAGAAAGCCCCATCTTTCTCCCACTGTGTGGCTAGTGTTTCAAACTGCGGACCTTCTCAGATGGCAGCCCAATGTCACAAGACTCCTTACCTCTCAGTGAAAGGCCGGGCTATGTCTGAAAACTCTCTTTGAAACCTCCTGGGGGGAGTACAGGGTTGGTTTCTCTCCCTGTCTCTTACACACACACACACACACACACACACACACACACACACACAGCCACCCTGAGTGGGAGTTGACCCTACTGAAACTGGTTAAAGACCTGTAAGTCAAATTCTCAGACTGCTTCTATATTCTGAATCAGAAACCAACCAGTCTTTATGGAAGGAGCACTGCACACCTTTGAGCCCTCCTGCCCCCGACACACGGCAGGCAGAGGACGCTGCAGTCATCCAGTTCATTAACTTCTGAGCCCCAGTTTCCTCATCTGTGAAATGGCGTTTCCTTAGATGCTCAATGGTTAGTACTAGGTTGCTAACCCAAAGGTCGGCTATTCTAACCCAAAGGTCAGAGGTTTCAAGCCCCCAGCCCCTCTGCAGGGGGTGAGTGGTGGGGCAGTCGCTCTCCTAGAGGTTTGCAGTGTTGGAAGCCCTACGGAGTATGTCTACTTTGTCCCGCAAAGTCATCATAATTCAAAACCCACAATGGATGCAGGGTGAGGTCAAGAGAACAGGCGCACAGGCAGGAGCTGGTGGTTTCTTCAGGGTGCTTCTAGGACCAGCAGAGTGTCAGCAGTTTGTACAGCCTCCTGGAGGACTCTCACTGTCTCAAAGTGACCAGAGCACCAGCTACAGCAGCATGAGTGCCCTGGGTCGGTGCCAACGTGCTCTCATGCTGTAAACACTCAGCCACCTCTTGGTTTCTCCCCCATCAGTCTTTGCGGAGAACTGTGGGCAACAGAAGAAGCCGCTTTGACCAACACTGCTCAAGGAGGCCAGGGAAGCAGTCATAGAGCAATGTCTAACCACCAAGGCAGCCATTCCTTAGCTGCTTGACCTAGATTTTCACATCTAGAGCTCCTTCCTGTCTCCCGACAAACTGAGCTTCCAAACCCAAGAACAAAATATACCTAGGTAAAAGTCGGTACACATCATTTCATCTTCTCCCAACTCTTAGAATTCTCCTAGTCATTTTCTCTCTGCAACTCAAGGTTTATCACCAGGAAAACCCCAACCCCAGCCCACCCACCAATGGCCTCAGCCTGTTCTCTGAAAGTTTCTTTCACATCTTGCTCTGACTGAAGCCCGGATTTCCTCAAAAGTAGTAGATCATATCACCCCCATTCTTTACTGCAGTCCCCTAAAGACCCTTGAGCTATTCTACCTTAGTCCTTGACAGTACTGCCATCTTTGGGACACCACTATCATTTCTCTAACACAATCCCGGTGATCACCCATTAACTCATTGCCATCAAGTCAATCACAACTCATAGTGAGTCCATAGGAAAGATTAGAACTGTCCCTGAGGGTTTCTTAGGCTGTATGGCTGATGGGAGCAGAAAGCCTCATCTTCCTGCCAAGAAGCAGCTAGTGCATTTGAACTGCCCATCTTGTGACTAGCATGACCCACCTCTCCACCAGAGCACCTGACCTCTGTGATAGTTCTTGCTATTTCAGTGTCCACATTAGAGATTCTTCTCACACTGTGCTCTCTCAGTTCTTTGACCTCTTCCCTTTCTGTACCTCCTCTACTCCATCTCCATTGCTGCTCTCACAGGAATGCCTTCCCGCCATCTCAGCGCCAAACATAACACTCTCCCTGGCTACCACCTGCTTCCCCAGTTTTTTCAGTCCTCTGTCAGATAGCTGACAGCACCCATTTTTTTGAGGGGGTGGTCTTTATTATTTTTTTTTCTTTAAAAAATCATTTTATTGGGGGCTCATACAACTCTTATCACAATCTATCCATCTATCCATTGTGTCAAGCACCTTTGTACATTTGTTGCCATCATCATTCTCAAAATATTTGCTTTCTACTTGAGCCCTTAGTATCAGTTGCTCATTTCTCCCCTCCCTTCCACCTCCCTCCCTCACAAACCCTTGATAATTTATAAACCATTATTATTTTTTCATGTCTTACACTGACATCTCCCTTCACTCACTTTTCTGTTCTCTGTTCCCCATGGAGGGGGTTATATGTGGAAAAACCACAAACTCGATAAAATCGAACTCCTTGCCTTCTCTCTGCCTGCATTGAGCTAACATGGTCAGAGAAACATGAAATCACGCTGCCTGCTCTCACTTTCGATTCATGACCAAATCTCAAGTGGACTTCAGTTCATCCTAGAACTCAGTCTCCATTTGCCTCATGGATTTACTTCCCTGCTCTCCTGTTACCATGGTGAACCGTGGGGCTCCATAGAAAAGCCAGCTCCATTGTGGGTGCGATGCCATGCCAGGCTCCTCACATATTCCAGGTCATGGCTCATTCCACCTCCCACCTAAGTTTCCCGCGGCCCTAGATCACTCCCATCAGTACATTGACATACTAGCATATTCCAGGGAGCTCTGATAGCATCATGGGTTACTCATTGGGCTACTAACCATAAGGTCAGCAGTTCAAAACCAGCAGCTGCTCCTCAGGAGAAAGATGAGTCTTTTTGCTGCTATAAAGAGTTACAGTCTAGGATACCCACAGGGCAGTTCTTCCCGGTCATGTAAGGTCGCTATGAGTCGGAATCAACAAAATATCGCTGTCTTTAAAAAGATCCTTGACTTCACACCCATCTCCAACTACCATCCCTGTCCTCAGTCCCTTTGTATTAAATAATATTAATAATAAACAAAAGCTCATCAAAAGAATCATCTAAACTCATTGTGGACATGTCTACCCCCTTTGTCCCTTTAAGGAAAAACAGGCTCCCCTATCACTCTGCCAAAGCATCTCCTGCCAAGGTGTAACACAACCTTTCATTGCCAACTTGGTCCTCAGCTTATCCAGCCTAATAACAGCTCTTGACTCATTGAGCCTAGGAGTGGAGGGCTCCTCTGGGTGGTCTGCAGAATCAGTCTCCTCCAATTCGCCATCATCCTGAGAGACACCAGCTTTTGTGCTCCAAGGCGGACAGTCTATAGTGGGTGTTTGGAGTCAGCTAGGTGTTGGTTCTAACACCAGCTCCACCACTAACTACTCATTTGGTGCCAGTAAGCCTCCATTTCCTGTTAAAAAATGGAGATAAGCATGCCTTTCTCATGAGAGTGACTGTCACATTGTAAAACATCAAATAAATGTTTGTTATGATTAGATAACATGCCCCTTTACCACTCAGATTAATGAACTCTTTTCCTTCCTTCGACAACTTGGAGCAACTGAAAGCAAACACTAACCAGAGTGCACTTAACACTAACGGAGATGAACATCATCCATTGAGCAGATTTTAGTGGAACGTGCAGACTTGGAAGGACTAGGAAGGAAGGCCTGGTATCGATGTCCAAATTCAGCCAATGAAAACCTTATGAATCACAGTGGTTCCATCCAATGATGGGGCTGGTGTAGGGCAGGGCAACATTTCGTTCGGCAGCTAACAACAAAAGTGTTCTCCCAGACTTACGGTGCTTATTTTAACAGTTGAATTAGAAGTCAGGTATTTGGTGCAGGTGGGCAAGTTTTTCCCCACACGGAGCACATTCCCAGTTGAGTTAGTTTATTGTGCCAACCTGGCTGATAAACACATGTGGGATTAATTG